TTGGCTTAAACCGAAAGGAAACTAGGACCTAGACACGAGAACACTAAACCTAAGACTCAAAAATTAGTTAATAGTATCAAGAATCCCCGGAAATGGCGCCAATTTGATCCGTTGTCGCGCGCGGATCAAAACGAGTGTTTTTACGAAACGGTTTCAAAACTGTAGTATTTAGCGACAAATGGCTCGAATATCGTTCTCAAGGATTCTTGAAATATTATTAACTAACTGAAATCGAATTAAAGGGAGGGGGGTTAGTTTGATTTTAGGCAAATAAGTTGATTATGAAAAGTGATTATAAAATAAGTTGTTTTTGATATGAGTGATTATAATAAACGGATTCACTGCCTCGGTTCGTACCTATCATCGACTGCTAACATTACAATCTCCTAAGCGAAGTTTCTATCCTATTTGATTACAGTATCAATTAACAAGCGTGATTGACACTATGAGATACATGTTCTTATGGCCGGATTAAGCATACGGTTAAAAGTAACGCAAATTAACAATTAAGCAAAGTCAATCGCGATTAAAATTTGGGAACATTTATCAATCAAATTAAATCAACAATGTTATATGAAAATCGAATTAAGCAAACAACAATCTCATAACATAGTTGAAAGGAATCAAAATTAAATTGCAAATGCTATAACAATCTCAAAGTTGGAACCTGAGTACAGTAAATCCGTCAGAAAGGTTTTAGTTCTCCATTGATTCGTACAAAGCTTTCTCTTTTTCATGAACAGTGAATGGGATCCCCAAAATTACTGTAGCATCTAGGTAAAAACTAAACAGAAACAACCCAACTGAGTCGGATACAAAACTCAGGCCCAAAACAAATGACCCAAACTTAAATATAAAATGTTGCAACTTCAACGACTTTTTTAACCTTACTATATCCCGAATCAGCATCTGGCGACAACTAGAAAGTTATAGGTCTTTTTCTTAGCTTTCCAACCAATATTAGAACGCCTCAATTCGATTCCCGTAGCTCCAGTTATGAATTTTTCTATGAAAGCTGCAGTTGCTGAAAATAAAATACGAAAATTAATTAAATGCAAAAATAAAATAAATTAGCAAAACATATTAAAACATAAAAATAAACACAATAAACTAAAGAATTACATTAGTACAATCGTGGAAGGATGTGCATCAAAATGCACTGATCAGGTCCAATGAAAGTTCGATTTATTTACTACTTTACCATTAAAGCAGAGAGTAGGAATAAATCGACCATTGACTAAGACATCCCATATTTCAAAATCATTTGCTTTTATAAAAATTTCAAATATTTCTTTTCGTAATTTAAACCTTTCACCATCAAATCATGGAGGTGTATCTATGAAAATACCTTTGTTAAAATTAGAAGTGTTTGCAATCATCATCTTCATTCGGAGATGACTAGTATGTAAATATGAGTTAGGATTCGATGACACTTGTTAGACAAGTAACTCCAAACATAAAGGGGGGTGAATTGTGTGAGTTTTAAAAAACAATGTCCAAATAATTTTTTTTGATAGAATCAGAGTTTAAAAACACGTTTATAAAACAATCAAGAAATAATCAACGGAATCAAGAAAATCATAGTGGAAAAAAATACAGTCAAAATAAATAAGTGAATGAAATGTAAAAAGAGAAAGGAAGAGAAAGATGCACCCGAGTTTATCTAACCACTTAGACTACTCTTCTCCCCAAGAATATCTTCTTGAGAGTTTCCAATACTATTGAACTTTTCACTGGCTTTGCCCACACGCCTCCTTACAAGAGACTGGTGGATTTTAGTAGGTTGATCCCTCAAACTAAACATGAATTTTAACTAAAGAGATCTCTCAACCAACATGATATTTTACAACTAGGATAATCCTGACTAAGCGAAGGCTTTTAAAACCAGGATAAGTCCACGAACCAAATAGGAGTTATAATTACAAAGACCTCTGAACTAAACACGAGATCTTACCACCGTAATAATCTCGGAAACCAAACAAGGGTTTAATTAGGTTCACCTCAACAACCAAATAAGAGCTTTTTAATTGGTTTTAACTCAGAACCAAAACAAACTTCTAACAATAGAGATATTATAACAATGCCCTCAGACCAGAACCAAATATCTCACTAATAAAAAATTCACTCTCAAAAGCACTAAGACAAAATTGAAGAAAATAGAGAGAGAGAGAGAGAGAGAGAGAGAGAGAGAGAGAGAGAGAGAGAGAGAGAGAGAGAGAGAGAGAGAGAGAGAGAGGAGTGAGATAAAGGTATTCAAAATACATTTTATAGTGTGATTTGAAATAAGGGGAAACTCTATATTTATAGGAAAAAGCGTAGCTCAAAAATGGAAACAATCCAGGGGCTTTTTAATACTCATAATCAACTATCCATATCACATAATCGATTATACGGTTAAAGTATGGAAGGTTTTAAATGGCATAATCAATAATCGATTATTAGAGTTACAAAAGTGATAATCAACTTACCCTAATGTGCTAATAGATTATGTCATGTAAAATATCCTCTTAATTGATTATAATGAGTCTCTAATAGATTATCTATGAACAAAAAAATTTCTGGTTATTTTAAAAAAAATCAGAGAGGTTTTCCAAACATTCAAAAGTGTTTGTGTGACTTGGCTTAGTATTTCAAAAGCTGATCTTATTCCTTTACATACACAGATCACTCGATACGGGTAAAACAAGCTTGTCCTCTCTCTCTCTCTCTCTCTCTCTCTCTCTCTCTCTCTCTCTCTCTCTCTCTCTCTCTCTCTCTCTCTCTCTCTCTCTCTCTCTCTCTCTCTCTCTCTTTCACAACTCTGAAGCTTCAAGTTCTTTTCTACATTATTTTTGACTTTAATACTCCATTGAAACCTTGGATCTTCTCCCTAATGATGCATGAGATAACTTCATGATGAGAGTCATAACCATATAGGTTGCTTGAGTGGGGATCTTTATTGACTTGATGTCTTGATCTTCAAGCACCACAAGTTGATCATCACTTTAGATTACATCTTGATCTTGATATAATGATTTCCAAGCACCAAATCTTGATCATCACATAAGATAACATATTGATATTTGATCTCCAAACATCACAGCTTGATCATTACAACTAATGAGGACTTCACCTCACAATGTTTTCATCATCAAAATCAAATAGGTCACATGATTGTTGTAGTTATTAAACATGTAAGCACGTAGTTTCTCATGTCTCATTGGTTCTAATGGTTGATAACTCTTCTCTTATTGAGGTTGTTGTTGTTATATTCCAAATTTGTCTGTCCCATTTTTAAAATATATTCAAATTATTTTTAAACTTGGCTTCATAAATTTTTTGGGTATTACTAACATTTGATTTTAACAGTAATTTATTTTGCTTGTTTAAAATATACAATAATTTACTTTAAGTTATTTGTATTTTTATTAGCAAAATATTTTCTCACTTTCATATGCTTCTATGTCCCTTTTAATATCGAATAGAATGACATAGCACAATTGATAAGAGAGTAAGACTTACAAATAAAAGGTCTTGTGTTCAAATCTCACCTCCTACAATAACAATAGTCTCGTATGAAATCTCAATAACAATAGTCTTATTCCTTTAAAATAAAAATAAAACAATAATTAAATATAAAATAATACATATGAGGCATAACATATCTCTTCCTCTAGAAAATCGCAAAACCAAACCGAATCAAATCGAAACCGCAAAAAATCGTATTTGGATCGGATGTGTTTGAGTCATTTTCTATTTCTTTAATTCTTTAGAGAAATCAACATGTATTATGTGTATATTTTATCATATTCTTTGCATGATATTTATTTTAATTTATAAATCATAAAAAATGAAATATTATTCATTTATAAATATTATTTTCATAAAATATATTTTATCGTATTCTTTGTATAATATTTATTTAAGAATGTAATCTTATATATACTATTTTTTAGATTTAAATAAAGTTATAATACATAATTTTATGTATCAAATTATAAATTTATTTTGATATATATTTTTCTTTATGTATGTATGGCTCAATAATTTTTTTATAAAAAATCGAATCAACCGAACTAATCCAAACTGCATTAATTTGGTTTGGTTTGGTTTGATTCGGCTTTATTTTTAAAAGTCACCCGAACCAAATCAAATTTCACGTTTTTTTTTTCTTTTGTGATTCAAATGATTTTTTGCATCAAAACCGTCTAAACCGGACCGTGAACTCTCCTAGATAGAAGGGTATCTTACACACACTCCTTGATTTCCTCTGGTGTGTTTCCTCAACAAGGTGTTTCAAATTTAAAAATTCAGATATCTCAAAAACATGCTCCGTATTCTGAAATGCATACGGTATTTTTTTCTCAATTTCTGAGATTTTTGAGTGATTAATGGATGAGAAAAAATGTCACTTGGCCTTTATGTTTGCTAGGCCCTCTTAACATGTGGGTTGGGCCCCAAATTATAGGCTACTATCTCTACTTATAAATAAATTAATGCAAACGTTGATCACATGAATAAAAGCATGATTATCGGTGTTCTTTGAGAGTTCCTACACATTTATTAAAGAAATTGTGTCAATAATAAATGAATATTTCACTTGTTTTCACGTTCCTGAACTAAAGCACGTCCTCATATTAAAGCACGTTTCTACACTCCAATTAAGTGGGTCATGATAATAAATTAATAAATAAAATTGTAAGAATGTAGTTGATTTGTTTTAAATGTGGGACCCATTTTAGATTTTTTGATGAGTTACATGGATATTTGAGAATTGTAGATGGGTTGTTTAAAAAATTGAGAAGTGTGAAATAATATAAAAAATTATGTGGATCTCATTTAAAGAACACAAATGGATATGATGGATGTGGATGCTCTAAAAAATAAGATAAGATGTTTGAGTGGCTCAAAACAAATCCAAATTGATTCTCTTTTCTTTTTTTTATTATCTGTTCATTTCTGGTGTATTTATCTATATTATCATGTTTGGAGTTCATAAAAGAAATAGTGATCGGAAGAAGATGAAGTTTCTAAGTGTTCTCATGCTTGTAATATTGGGAAGTAGCATCAAGGCCTATAGTGAAATTTGTCAAACTTCTTTGAAAGAAATCAGTAATATCAATAGCCATGGACCATATATTGGTATAGCTGTGCCAAATGCCTATGAGTTGAAGCCTCTTCTTCAATCACCCAGCTTTGTGCCTCATAACAAGTTTCCTTACTTCGACTTTGCCGGTAATTTTTACAATAATATGTTGCTTAATATATATGACTTTTGATAGAACATTACACATCGTTTTGATTTTCTTGACAATGTAGGAAAAAAATTTCGCATTGGTGAATTGGAAAATAAGAAAGTTATTGTTGTTATGAGTGGAGAGGGTATGGTAAGTTTAGTTTCTAATGTGTTATGTTTTTACTTAAACTTATATGCTTGTATTTAATTATTTTTATTAGTCTTTGGTTTTCGATTTTGTAGCTAAATGCAGGTCTTGCCACCCAATTGTTGCTTACTTTGTTTAATGTAGAAGGAGTTCTTCATTATGGAATTGCTGGTAATGTAAATTCTCAATTCCAAGTTGGGGATGTGACTATTCCACAATATTGGGCTCACACAGGACTTTGGCATTGGCAGGTACATATAAAAGTTAATTCAATTATGTTAAGATTTGAGATAGTTTCATAATATCTATAACACTCACACTTTTAAACAAATATATGTCTGGTATATGTTATGTGTTAATGTTTGACACTGACACGATCATGTCGGCTGTATTTTAAATGTAATAATTTGATCTAACTTTTTAATTTAATTGAGCAGAGATTTGGTGAAGACAATGGAGATTTCGGCAGAGAATTTGATTATCTAAAGTTTTCAAATTACAATAACTATACAAAACATTCGAAATCAATAGAAAATCTTTTGAATAAGATTTGGTATCAACCAGAGCAAATTTTTCCTGTGGATGGGACTCCCGAAGTAAAGCAGCGTGCTTTTTGGGTTCCAGTTGACAAAAATTACTTTGAAATCGCAAGAAAGCTCAAGGTCAGTTCAACCTAATCCATCATTGCAGTGAGGTCAAATTTGTGTCTAAACCCTTTAATTGAGATTGGACCTTTTAGACATGTCCGTCATTTTTGGCGAAAGTCTATAGTTATTTGAGGCTAATTTTTAACTTTTTCTCTGCAGAATGTTAAGTTGAATAGCTGTGTTAACAAAACTTGCTTGCCAAGAAAGCCAATTATGGTGAGAGTGAAGAAGGGGGTGAGTGCCAATGTGTTTGTTGATAACAAAGCTTATAGAAATCATTTGAACTCCAAATTTGATGCTACTCCAACTGACATGGAAAGTGCTGCTGTTGCTTTAGTTTGTTTCCAACACAAAATACCTTTCATTGCCATTAGAGCATTATCTGATTTAGCTGGAGGTGGTTCTGCATTGAGTAATGAAGCATCTATCTTTTTATCACTAGCCTCTCAAAATGCATTTGATGTTCTTGTCAAATTCATCTCTTTGATGATTTGGCAGCGTTAATGTGTTTCTTGAAGAGTAAGCAAGGGATATATTTTTAGGGAGAAAGAAATCATATGTTTCAAATTCTCTCTTATGTTATGTACTAAAAAATAAAAGCATAGTGGAATCTTTTGTATTTTCTCTGCTTTCACTTTATTTTATATTTATCTTTATGATTAAGATTACGTACCTGTTTACCTTTAACATGTGCGGGTAGTTTTATCATAGACTTAGGATCATGAGGATCGTCTAAACGACATACCTTATGTAGGCTCTTAATTTGGTATCTTTTATGAGAAATCAGGCATTCACTATGGTATTTTAGGATTTAATGTATGTATCTCTATGAAATTAGAGATAGTCTTAGATGTTAGAATAATAATGCAAGTGTGAGTAAGTGGAGAAATTTGTTAGGGAAGCTTACATTAGGAGCATTGATACAAAGTTGAGGACTAGGCACCTTAGATGGATAAGTGGTGTGTCTCTCAGAAAAGTGCATAATCATCAACTTTGTATCAATGCTCCCTAGTGAACTCCTCCAACAAATAGTATCATGAATCGTTGGTTCGAAAAAAAGACCGGCTAACTTGTATCGAAATGCTCAAGAAGAGGTGTCATGTTGCCCAAGAAGAGGTAATGTCGGTACAAGTGTATGTGGGGGGCATTGTGGACTCACACTTGAGGGGGAAGTGTTAGAATAATAATGCAAGTGTGAGTAAGTGGAGAAATAGTCTCACATTGGACAGGAATGTGGAGACTTGAGCATATATAAGTGAGACTTTTAATAGGAAAGAGAAATTAATAATCAATTTTAGAAATATATTTTAATTCAATGGTGCAGATTCATTCTCATATTCTCATATAAAGATAGCATCCTCATATGACATATATATATATATATATATATATATATATATATATATATATATATATATATATATATATATATATATATATATATATATATATATATATATATATATATATATATATATAGTACATCTCAGAAATATTTATTCTAGTCCGGTTATAAAGCCACCATGGGTAAAAGTAAAAAGATATAAATGGTTATATAGTAAAGGGAAGTCGGGTAGAGACCTTACCCGGGTATGAACTTCACTTAGCTGGAAATCGGGTAGTGACCTTACCCGAGTATCAACTTCACTTAGCTGGAAACCGGGTAGTGACCTTACCCGGATACCAACTTCTTTGAGTGTCCTCAGACAAGACTTAGCAGTACATAGTCGATTAGGAACCCGATCTTAGGCATAAAATGTAATGGTTGTCGGTTGAATAATTGTATACGTTATGATAGCTTAAATACACCCATTCATGGTAGGAGGTGGCCGTTATGCTTGTCTCAAATAGGAGAATATGTAGAGATGCCTCTTCAATTAGGCTCTTAAAGGGTCATTTGAAGACTATATAAAAGGGCTCTCGTTAGAGGGATAAGCAAGACATTCACTCTTCGGGTCAATACAAACCTTCACTGTAGCATCCAAATCCCCCAAAATCATACAGAAATCCACCCTTGTTGCGGCTCCCCTTGTTCCTGCAAGGAAGTCACTCGTTTATTACTTTTACACAAGAACATTTAGCGTCCACTGTAGGGCCTCGATAAAAATTTCCTAGGCCACACATCACATTCAGAAGAATATCCTCTAAAGGGGATCCTCCAGACTAGGCGCAACTATTAGCCATGGCGGATGTTCTCTGACAACATAACGAAACACTACAGGATAGCATGCAAATCCTGCAACTACAAAGCCAAGAGGATTGGGAGCAGAAAGAGGATATTCTTGAGCCCCAGTCGCTCTCGCAAGCAATATGGGACAACCAAGTCTCTGAAAAATTCAAGTCATTATCGCTCACATCTTTTGATGGCAAAAGTGACCCTCAGGAGAATATTATCGCCATCAACAATCAAATGGCGACAATAGGACCCTATGACTAGTTGAAGTGAAAACTCATGGCGGGCATTTTCAAAAATGTGGCTATGAGGTGGTACATGAACCTCCCTCGGCGGTCTATGGTGAGCTATCAGAACCTGACCAAGAAATTGGTACAATACTTCTCGAAAAATAGACATCAGAATGTTCCGACAACTACCCTGTTCAATTTTGGCAGGGACATGCAGAATCCCTACGGGAGTACCTGGTCAGATTCAATGAAGAAACCATCAAGGTTTCTCACCCCAACCAAGAGTTGTTCGTTGGAGCGTTTCAACACGGTCTCTGAGTCAGGCAATTCAACGATTCTCTGACACAGAAGTCGGCGTCCAACATAGACGAGATCATCACTAAGGTTGATTGATACATCAAAGGTGAAGAAAGTAATCGGGAGAAATGATCTAGGAATACTACTAAGAAGATGAAAAGTAAAGAGGAAGGATCGGGGCGGAGAAAAGAAAATCCTCGGGTCATCCCACGTGACTGACCCGCGCCACGACCATATTGACGACCCCTCAATTCAGAGGAGAACCTAACGCCATTAAATACCAGAAGATGGGATATCCTTAGGAAATTAGACCATCTGAATCTGTTACCAGAAGCACGACGCCCGAGAAAAGTGAATGTCATATTGAGGAAAGAAGTTGGGGCCTGGTGTAGCTATCACTGACTCTGAGGTCATCATACCGATAACTGCCACCAACTCAAAAAAGAGATTGAAACACTGATACATAGGGGACACCTCCTAGCATATGTGAAGGATTCTAAGTCACAACCCAGGAAAAGAAGTCCTTGGAGAGACGGCCCTAACTCGGAGAAGTCTCATCATGAAAAAGGAAGAGATACCGATGAGGAGCACGAAACAAAGACAGCTTGGCATACACTTAATACCATTTCTATCAGATTATGGTTATCGAATTATCCACCACTTATTTCAATGCTCTAGATGTCCAGTCCTAAAAGTGTACAAATTACAAATATAAAAAATGCAATCAATTCATGCATGCCACGATAATAGATAAAAGTGAGTCAATTTATGCCTAAGGTATCGGGGTTTTTTATATCTTTGCGATCGCAACATAATCATAATCGTACTTTATCCTGCATTAGCTGCATTTTACAGAAACCTTCCGCATTATCAAGGATCGCGACACATCTATAAACCTTGGCCACACATGTTGGTTTCTGTTGCTTTAGGTTGTCTCCAACACAAAATAATATTATTTGTCATTACAGCATTGTCCAATGAATCATCTGATTCTCCTATTAATATTTGTTCTTATCAGATTCATATGCTTGTTTAACTTATAGCATAATATTTCTCAAAATGTAAGCAAGGGACATTTTGTTACAATCTATAAGTCTTGTGGTGTGTGCTCCATCATATCTCCATAAACACATAACCAAAATTATTAGAAGTATCATAATTAAAAAATTCATTTTATACTAATTTTATGAAGAAGCATATAACAATCATGTATAGATTGTTATTTGATAGTTTGTGTATTATTCTCCCTTAAGAATGACAATAAACCGACTCAATTCGAAAGCAGTTTAAAACTCAACTCAACAATTAACTTGTTAAATTTATTTCACTAATCAAATAAGTTAAACTTGTGCTGAAAATTAACTTTGATAACTAAAATGAGCTAAGCTTAAGCTATCTACAATTTAATTTGTATGTTCGATAAGCAACCGATATTATTGTAATCTAATCTTTTGTTTTTCAAAAAATAATTGTCAAAAATCTAAAATAATTTATTTTTTGATAAAAAGAAAGTTGACTATTTTTAAATCATGTGAGTTGAACAACCGAGTTATTCGTGCACTTGAAACAAGTCAAGTTCGATGTCAAGTCAGAGTTTGTGGGTTCGACGGAGGGCTTTCTTCATTGTTAAAGGGAGTCCCTTCCCTTTACTTTTCTTGGCCTTCCATTAGGTGGGAACTTCGATCTACTAGTACTGAGAGTCGGTGGTCAACCTTGTTACTAGGAGGTTGCACTCTTACATCCATTGTTGTGTTAGTTTAACTGGATGAGTCATTCTCCTTAATTTTGTCGTAATTTTGTCTTGAATTCAATTTTGACCTTCAATCTCTCTTCTCTAAAGTTATCAATTAAGGTTTCTTTAAGGCGGAGTTAAGGGAGCTTCTAAAATTTCTTGGGTGAGGAAGTTTGATGTTTGTAAACCTAAGGAGTTAGGGGATTGAGTAGTTTTGACCTAGGTTGGTTAATCTTGACCTGCTTGAAAAGTGGAGTTGGAAATTACTTTCTACCTTGAATGGTATTTGGTGTCAGGTCCTCATTCCTAGGTATGGGCCCCAAGAGGCTTTGTCCCTCCTTGGTGGTCACCTTCTGCCTCGAGACTCGCATCCACAATGTCGTGGTGTCTCTTGCATGGGTTATCCTTAGAATGGTTGACCTGATTTATTTGTTGACGTGATCTCCAAAAAGGTTGGCTCCGGTCCTCTCACCTTCTTTTAGAGTGATTCATTGATTGGTCATATATCCCTGTTAGTACTTCTTTCCTAGGTTGTTCTATATACTTCTTCAAGATGTGAAAGTGAGAGAGTGGGGTATTCAGGTTGATGGTGTTCTGACTGGGGATTTTAGGTGGAGAAAGGTTTCTTTGTTTGGCAGTAGCCATAGTTAGCGGATTTTTACAAGTTCTTGAGGGTACATCCATATCCCATAAAACTGTTTGGTTTGTTGGATCTGTAGTGGAGACTTTACTAATTTCGTAACTTCAACTTGTTCTCTCTTGCTCTAAGTCTCTTCGGTCCTTGGTTCTTTTACCTCACCTTCCAATCATTCATTGCCTCTTATTTAGGAGAGTTTCACTCCGTCCAAAGTGGTGGTTTTCTCTTTGAAGTTGTTGAATGATAAGATAGCTACTATAGTGAATATATGAAAGCGTGGAGTGATTTTGGACCTGCATGGTTGTTCTTGTCTTTTGCGTACAATGAGAGAAGTCTCCTTCTCTTCTCGTTGTGACTTGTGAAATAGCAAAATGCTTGTGAAATAAGATTTTCAAGAGGTTTGGTTTTTTCTTAGTGCTACCTAGGTCGGTGTTT